GAGATGAAACACGAATGTTTCTTTTTCATTAAGTAATATTTAAGGACTTACTATGTGTTAGACACTGCTGTATACTTTCATAGTTTGGGCTATTCTGGAGTATGTTGCTACCTAGAAACCTGTATAAGAAAACTTCATATGAAATCATGAAGATAATAGAAGTATACTATTCACAATGAAAAACATATGCATTAAAGACTAATATGAAAAAAAGACTAAATAGTTGATCATTGTGTTTTCCACATATTATTTTGACAGCTGTATAACATTGTCTCATTGACATGCCCGTTTGCTGAGTCATTTTTCTTTTGTTAGGCTTTTGGGTGTTACTTCTCGGTGTGAGGCCTTTGGGTTCATCATTTCTCAGTGTGGCCCTAAGACCAGCAGTATAGGCATCATTTTTGGAATTTGTTGAAAAAATGAGGGCTGGGGCTATGGCTCAGCTTGGCATGTGTGAGGCACTGGGTTCGATTCTCAGCACCACATATAAACAAATAAAATAAAGCTTTATTAACAAATTAATAATTAAAAAAAAGGAAAATGTAAATTATTGAGCTTTACTCCATAGCGACTGAATCTGAAACCCTGGAAGTCTGGGAGTAGGGCCCAACAGTTTGTGTATGAACAAAGTCTCCGGTGATTCTGATCTAGTTCAGTATTTCTCAATTTCAACGTTATTGACATCTCCATTTTTGTTGTGGAGGTCTGTTGTTGCATTGTGAGGTATTTAAAGCATCCTTGGCCACTAGATGCCAGAAGTGCCTCCCAAATTTTATCTTTAGAAATGTCTCCAGACATTGCTGCATGTTCCTTGTGGAGAGGCAGGTTTGACCCAGGTTGAGACCCACTCATCTTGTTCTTGATTGTCATACATAGAATGGTCAAAAATGCCTGTATTAAATAACTTGAAGTTTTCCCTTGAACTTGATCTTTTATGAAGTAGAACTTTTGAGTCAAAGGTCATAAATACATTTATAATTTTAAAGACTGAAGAGTACCTTTGGTTCTAGAAGAAACTCTGGTGTTTAGCCTTGTTTGATCTTGATGAAGGTGGTATTTGTTCTTTCAAGTAACTTTCCTTGGCAGCTCAACTTCTCTTTTAATTCTATCCCTCAGGGCTTGGACTGTGGCCCTGAGAGCAGCAAGAAGTATGCTGAGGCTGTTGGTCGGGCTAAGCAAATTGTATGGAATGGACCTGTGGGTGTCTTTGAATGGGAAGCTTTTGCCCGGGGAACCAAAGCACTCATGGACGAGGTGGTGAAAGCCACTGCCAGGGGCTGCATCACTATCATAGGTAAGGTGTCCTTTACAAAGCTAATACTAAGGTGAACTGGCAGAATTCTAATCAGAGGAAGGTAGAGGGGGATCATTGACTATTCCTGGGCCTCATGGTATTAGGTGAATCTTGAGCCAAATGGGTGCATAGTTCATGTAGGAGCATCTTAATGAAAGAGTTCAGAGTTCACCAGCTACTTTTGAGTTGCCTTATAGTTTTGGTGCCATTCAACTTTTTTCTTCTACTTTCCTTTTTCATCTGGCTTTCATTCAACAGGTGGTGGAGACACTGCCACTTGCTGTGCCAAATGGAACACAGAGGATAAAGTCAGCCATGTGAGCACTGGTGGTGGTGCTAGTTTGGAGCTCCTGGAAGGTGAGGTTCTTGTTTTTTGGCTTATTTAGGGGTAGGGTGGAGAGAAGTGGGTAGAATGGAATAAAGAAATTTAACAGCTAGTACTGTCATTAGCAGTCATTATTAGCTGGGCAGTACAAATGGAAGAACTTCAGATAAAGCTCTTGCATCCTTTTGAGGAGGGGAGGGGCAGATAGGAACTTGTTCTTAAACATGTCACATTCTAGTAGACCTGGGACACAAAATGCAAAAGTTGCCCAACTCCTGGCTATATTATCTTAAAGAATAGCTGATGTGTTATTGGGAAGAGAGAAGGGGGCATATCTGGCTTAGTTGGCCCTATAGTAATGCTGTCTATGTGTATGTGCTCTCTCAAAAACAGGTAAAGTCCTTCCTGGGGTGGATGCTCTCAGCAATGTTTAGTACTTTCCTGCCTTTTGGTTCCTGTGCACGGCCCCTAAGTCATCTTAGCATTTTTCGCATCTCCACTTGGCATTAGCTAAAACCTCCCCCCACATCAAGGTTCAGCTAGTGGCCAAGAGAGGTAGCACCAGGAACCCTTAAACAGTTGCACAGCATCTCAGCTCATCTTTACTGCACCCTGGATTTGCCTATATTCTTCAAGATCTCATTTAAATTTCTTAGTGACTAAACCATTGTGCATTCTAGAGTGCATCTATTTATATTGTGCCTGTTAAAACAAAGTGAGCTGCGTTAGCTTAGTTCTCTTTTTGAAGTAGCTTATTTTGATTAGCTTGTCACTGTTCACTACTCGGCATGGAAACAAGATGAAATTCCAGTTTTAGGGAGAAGCAATTGATGAACTATTAAATGATCAATAAACATGTCCATTGAAACTGGAATTTTTTTCCTGTCATACTTTGTTAGGAAGGGTAAGAATAGAAATTTGAAGGGACCAAATATCTACATTTCTAAATGTAAGAAATGGGATGGCAGCAGTGGGGAAGTGGGGGGATTAGATGAATGCCTACTCCTTATTGAAGAATTATACTGTTTCTATTTTAAATTTTTATCAGTTTGACACAGTCATAATGTAAACAGTCAAGGTTTTACTGCAGCAAATAGAGCCTCAGCTTATTCCTCCCATATGTGATTCTCCTTTGCCAGAGGTGACCACTGTTTTTCTAGTTATTTGCCTCCATGTTTCTAAGTAACATCCTGTGAGCTTCTTGGAATTTTTTTTTAAAGGTACCTATTAATTTCATACCATTGAAGATTTAACATATATCCTCTGTTCCACATATCCTACTATTTCATTCTTACAGTATAGTTTTGTCATAGATTAAAGTTTACAGTATGATTTTAAATATTGTTCTGCTTAACTATGTAGTATGCTATATTTACTTATGTGATTTTTAAAAATATTTCTTAGTTGTAGACACAATATCTTTATTTATTTATTTTTATGTGGAGGATCGAACCTAGCACCTCACATGTGCTAGGCGAGCGCTCCAGCACAGAGCCCCAGCCCCATACTTATGTAATTTTTATTGTCTTGGAAGTTAATGTCTTTATTTTTTTTCTTTTCCTATGTATCCGTATCACTGATTCATTCCCAAATCTGCTGGAAGTATTAATGTTTCAAACATACAGATAATCGTAATTTTTACTGGAGACATCCTGCTGAAGTTCTTGGTGTTTTTACTCCAGTTTGTACTGGTTACCCTCTAGGTTTGCTATATAGCTGTTGCTGTGTTGTTGTACTTGGGGTGCCCTCTGGTTTGAGCTCAGGAATTCTAGTCCTGTATTTGTAGATGAGACGTAAAGATACCACCCACAGGTCTAGCAAATTAATATTACAGCTGGGCTAGAACTTTAGCAAACTGATCACTGTTATTTCCTACTGATTATCTTTTCTCCAATATTTTATTATTTCAAGTACACAGAGAAATGGAATGAAATATACAATAAACACCCATAGGCCCAAGATCTAGACTGTGATTGCCAGCATCATCCATCTATCCAATCCCTGATAATCTCTTAAGTACTTCCTATTAGAATCTACTTTCAGATCATCCCTCATTGATTGTTTTTAATCCAGACTGAGGAAACTCCAGTTTTAAGTATCTGTGTACCTGCTACAAGCTTAGCTTATGGTAGAGGGAAATGTGAGCTAGCATTTATGTCCTGAAGGAATTCATAACTTAGTCAAGATAGTGGATAATGTACAACTTATGAGCGTATGAAGTAGAATAGTATGAGAATATGCTTTCTGTTTTAATATAAAATTATGCACTACTGACGAAAATAATTGCAAAGATATAGGCTTTAAGTGCTAAATTCACTTTTTTAAAAATTATTTTTATATATTAATTTTTTTTAAATTTTTTAGTTGTAGTTGAACTCAGTATCTTTATTTATTTATTTTTAAGTGGTGCTGAGGATCAAACCCAGACCAAGCACATGCTAGGCAAATGCTCTGCCACTGAGCTAGAGCCCCAGCCCACTAAATTCACTTTTAAATTTTTTTTTTTTTTAGTTATACGTGACTTAATATCTTTATTTTTACAAGGTGCTGAGGATTGAACCCAGTGCCTCACATGTGCAGGGCAAGTGCTCTGCCACTGAGCCACAACCCCAGCCCAAATGAAATTCACTATTTAACAACACATATGTATGTCTTCATATGGGGGGGAAACATGTTATAAATGAGGAATTGAAATATATTCTTTAGCTCAGTGTTTCCTGCTTTCCTTCTCATGTCCCAAATTTCCCTCTAGCACAGGGGTTTGCATGTGAACAAAAAGGGTACAAAGAAAGGAGATAGTATCCTACTTTAGTTCCTTACTGGCTTTAAAACTAATTTGTTCAGTTCACAGCTACTTAATGCATTTGAAGAGCATATCCATGTGTGTATGTACATATATAAAATATGAATGGTGGGTGACCTGTTAAGTGAATGAACACTCAGGATGTAACCTCAATTATATGTATAGATTACCCCTAAAGCCCCAGCATGTTAATTTTTTAAATATATATTTTTTGTACTAGAGACTGAACCCACGGATACAGTCTTGACTGACTTTCATTCCTAGCCCTTTTTATTTTTTATTTTGAGACAGGGTCTTATTTAGTTGCTTAGGGCCTAAGTTTTAGGCTGATCTCAAACTTGCGATCCTCCAGCCTCAGCCTCCCAAGTCAATGGGATTATAGATGTGTGCCCCTGTGCCAGGTTGAGTTTTAAACCTATATTCTTAACATTTTCATTTTCATTTTGCTTTATTATGAAAAGTCAAAAGCTAGCAATTTCCTGAATATAATAATTCATCCTTTAAATAAACGTTAGTTTTTGACCCTCAAAATTAGCCTTACTCGTTTTCTTTGAATGCCTTCAGTCAGAAATGGAAGATTGCTTTAAGCTAAAATTTTTATTAATAACCTCGGGACAAATACATTAATAATAATTCCTTATAGATATATAGCATTTTACAATTTTGAAAGAATTTTCACATACACCAATTAAACCCTCACAACATCCCTGTGAGGTAGGCAGGGTAGGTGTTATTTTCTATTACTAATGAGAACAAGGCTCAGAGGTGAAGTAAGGTCACACAGTTGGTAAATGATGGAGCCAGGACTAGAACATGGGCCTTCCGACATGCTGCCTCCCTGAGAACATTCAAGTAATGATATCCATGCTATATAATGAAAATTTCTCTCCTATGATGTTGATCAGATCCATTTTTGTAAGTTTTTATATCACCTTTCTCTGATATGCCTAAACATTCAAACTGATAAGACATTTCTTCCCTGTTTCTGGACTATTTCTTAGATGTATCAAGCACCATCCTAAGATGAAACTTACGATTAAGTTTTGAGGATCCTTGGCTACAAATGCTTAGATTATGATATGAAGATTTATTTCAGAAAATTCTGCCTAAATATTTCCATGTCAATAATGTCAAACTGAAACCAAACAGGTCTGTTTTTATTCTCAAAAGCTTTGTGATCTTTCCCAGTAAGACTTTTATGTGTATAAATGGAAAATACGGGGAAGTGTTTAGCAATATTACTGGGAAACCTGTACACAGTGCACCTAAATGCAAGTCACATGACACTAATTTGTTTTCCTTGGCCTTAACAGAAAAGGAGGAGAACCATTATATTCTACTTTCAAGTCTGATCCCATCTCATGTGTGAAATCCTTAGCAACAAGCTATAAAAATGATCTGAATTATACCAATAGGAGGACTCAAGCAGTAGTGACCAAAACATATATGTATGTGGTACGAATAAAACACTTGCTCTTCAGTGGTTCATCTAGGTCCAGTGTAAATTACTTCTCAAGGCAGATTTTAAGCTATATCATCTCTTTTAAATTTTAAAATGTGAAATATGGTAGAGTTATCAACTTGGAATATGACTGAATGTCAATGACCCCCCAACTACCTTTCAAGCAGACTAAAGCTCCAAAGATATGAAAGGCAAGGGATAAAACCTAGTTTTTCTAGTATGGAGTGAAAAAGAGCAACTGCAAAACTGCAGGTTCAAGTGAACCATAGAACATCGAGCATATTTTAAAAACATGAAAATGACCTGTATTATCAGGAATGATATTTTGAAAATTCCAGTTATGACCTTTTACATTTAAGAGTAATGGGGATGAACCTAAGCCTGTGGGGGATCTAGAGAGGGAGTTGGGATGGGAAGTTAGGGAAAACCAAGAAAAACCTTAAATACATTCTTCTTTCCAAAAATGTTTTCTAAATAGACTTGGTCAAAAAAGTTAGTGACAATTAAAGTGACTATTTTATCTTATAAAACAAAGTAGAACTTTAAATGCAAGTTAGACATTAATAGATTAGTCCACTGACCAGGCTGTAGAAACTGAAATGTAAGTGCTGCTGTCAATAATAGCAGAAAACTGCTTCCAAAAATAGAATTGCTGTGGTAGGACTAAGCATTAATGGAACTATTAAAAAACAAGTACTTTTGTACTTTAAGCCTAATTGAAAAACATTTGTACTCTTAAAGAAATCTAACAGTTTGAATTAATGTGAAAAATACTGCAGCTACATTTAAGTTTTCTAAGAAAAAGTTAAGATCTACAATGTTCTAGTACAGTATATCAGCTGAAAACCAACTACACACGTCTTAAATGGATGTAGACTAGACTCTACCCTTTACATAGTATCATTGTCATCATCATCTTCATGTTTCCTCTTCATTGGGTTTGATTCATTGCCTGTGTTCTGTGATGAAACCATGTTGGTGGTAATAAGAATATTTTTGGGCCCAATCATTGAAGGATTAATCAGAACATTTTGAACTGCAGTTGTTGCAGGAACTGTAAACAAAGAAGAAACCCCCCCCCCACAAACCATGAATTACCCAGAATCCAAAATATACAGTCAAAAGTACACAACAAAGCTGAATGTAATTCTAATAGAAATTTCAGTAGCATGGAGTGCAACTACATCACAGAAGAAACAGGTAATTTATACTGCATTTTGAGTTGAATTAAATTTTTAAAATATTTTATTTTTCATTGGTAAATAGTATGTGATAAGGGTACAATGTGAGGTTTTGATCTGTGTATACATAAAGATTAAATCTACTAAAATGTATCTAAATGCAAAGTTAAAAATGTTTTATTTTTACTACATTAAATTTCAATTAGTACATTGAATTGGTCATGAAAAATAGTACAGGCCTATGTTTAAGGCAAGGAAACATGCTTCTCTTACAGGCCAATATTTTATATAAGTTGTTTATTGTATGTAGTTAGGGTTCAAAGGATGTGAAATCTCAACATACATATTAGTAAACTATGCTATATCAGAATTATATTATTCCAAACAATCTATATTTTATGAAGCGAGTAAAACAATTTTCATTTGAATTTATATTTGCATTCTGGATCACACACATACTCATTACTAAGTTTTATCATTTTGAGCTTTTACTATAAATGCTTGTCCCTGAGGATGCCTTAGATTTGTGGATGCTGACGGTTTTTACTTCATTGTATTCTTTTGAGATTCTGATAAGCATGTGGAATACTCTCCCCTCCCCCTGAAAATGTATACACAGGGAAAACTTCATTCAATTTTAGAGGATTCATACACCATCTCTGAAGAATGCTGATTTACAGCATTACTGCCAACTTCCTGTTGATATTATATCAGTTTATTTCTTGCCACAGGAACACAAACTGTTCTTTAATTGCAATTATTCATGAATTCTGACCCCCACCCAATCGTGTTACCTGGTTTGACAGGAGTGGACTGAGAAGGTGGAATCTGCACCGTAAATCTTTGGCTTGTCACTGACACTGGAGTTGCAACTTTATTTGGGACAGACACTGTTTGTGGGGTTGCTGTAGTTACAATCAACAGATCTTGTTAGTTAGATGAGTTATTTTTCAGACAAATATTCTATACTCCTTAACTTAGACTACCTTTAAAGCACAGAGAACTAGGGTAAAGTGAGAAGGTATCATTAAAAACAAGAGAAAAGTGATTTTTATTTGAAAAAAATTGTAGTTCTGGGAATTGGACCCATGGATGCTTGAACACTGAGCTACAACAGCCCCAGCCCTTTTATTTTTTTTAATTTTAAGAAAGAGTCTCCATAAGTTGCCCAGACTGGCCTTGAACTTTGTGATACTTCTGTCCCAGTCTCCCAAGTTGCTGGGATAAAAGCAAAGTAATTTTTAAAAAGCTTACAAACTTGTACAGATGCTATAAAATTGGACTTGGAGTATAGCTCACAACTCCAAATTCAGAATAGTATAGTAGTAAAGAATGTAGAGCTCTGGAGCTGGGCGTGCTGGCACAAGCCTATAATCCCAGCAGCATAGGAGGCTGAGATAGGAGAATTGCCAAGTTTGAGGCCAGCTTCAGCAACTTAGATCCTGTCTATAAATAAATAGGACTGGGGATGTGGCTCAGTGGTAAAAGTACCCCTGGGTTAAGTCCTCAGTACTCTACCCCATCCCCAACAAAGAAAAGAAAAACTCAAGTTATGGAGCCTACCTGCTTGAGATTGAATCCAAGCTCTATCACCTACAAGCTGGTTTTCCTTGGGCAAGTTCTTCTGCACCTCTGTTTTCTCATCTGTAAAATGGAGAGAACTGTATTTAAATTCATAAAATTCTGAGAAGTAAGATAATCCATGTAAAACTCTGCAAACAGTATCTAGTATACAGTAAATACTAAATTTTAGCTACATGAAGCCATGAAGTAGAGCTTACCAGAATGAAGACTCAAATTTCCTGTATAAATTACTTTAGGTGTTATTTATTTTTATATGTATATTGTTGATAGATCTTTATTTTATTTATTTATATGTGGTGCTGTGAATCTAACCTAGTGCCTCACATGTGCTAGGAAAGCACTCTACCACTGAGCCACAACCCCAATCCTAGGTGTGAATTTTAATACCTCACTTGCTGAGAATTAGATGTCTACTTGCCCATGAAGGTAAATCAACATGCACTTAATAAAAAGAAGTTGATTAAATACATGCCTTGGGTCCCCAGGTGGGCAAGAAGTTTTACCTTTTGCCTCTGTAATGTCCCTAATGTATCATAGGAGTCATATTAGTATCTTATTTCATTCACTAGCATAGAAGTCTTGGCTAACATTTTTTATCCTGGTGAGCATGTGGTTCTTGTGCCTTTTTCCTAATAGGTATTCAACAAATGTCTGCTTAATGAATGGTTTTGCAATATTTAATATTTTAAGTATTTTTTTAGTTGTGTATGAATTCAGTGACTTTGTTTTTATGTGGTGCTGGTATCGAACCCAGTGCCTCACACTTGTGAGGCAAGTGCTCTACCACTGAGCTCCAACTCCAGCCTCACAAGATTTAATATCTATGTGGACAATGCCCTCTCAAAAAATAAATTTGTGGAAGTGTGTCTGTTTCTAATGTTTTCCTTTGGTGATGCAGGCTTCCCATATATCCCTCTGTGACCAGCCGTCTACCCAGGGTGAGAGCTGCTTAAGAAAGTATAACTAGCATCATCTCTAGGGACAAAGAGGAAGAATGTGTAAATAGGAGAAAAAAGTCCAAAGGTATCCAGAAATCTGGGTTCCAGTGATTTCTTTCCCAAACAGAAAGTGAGATCTAACTGATATAGCTCCATTTTTAGGCAAATTTTCTCATATTAAGTAGTCCAGAGAATTTGGTGAAGCTTAATGAAGTAGTATATTTTGTCAAGAAAAAATTTATAGTTGGTTGATGTTTTCCTGGTGATTATCTTAAGGAATTGAAATTTAGGCTTTAGAACTGAATAGATGTATAAGCCTTAATGTTTATGCAAATAATTTTTAAGATTAAAACATGCATCTTTAATAACAGTTTGAATAGCACCCTCACTACAGATCTGGGAAAAAAAATAAAGCAGTACAAGAAATGACTAGGAATCAAGACTACAATTGAGACCTGAAGTTGGTTACCTTGCATGACATGTAATTGATTACCACATTCTAGGGGTTTAAAATATTAGTATTGTTGCTGGGTGTGGTGGTGCATGCCTATAATCCCAGTGGCTTGGGAGGCTGAGGCAGGAGGATTGCAAGTTCAAATTCAGCCTCAGCAAGTTAGTGAGGTCCTATGCAACTCAGCAAAACAATGTCTCAAAATAAAAAAGGGCTGGGGGTGTGGCTCAGTGTTCCGAGTTCAATCCCTGGTATCAAGATAAAAATATTAGTATTGTCAAGTGAAGTAGTATGCACCTGTAGTACCAGCTACTTAGGAGGCAGAATCAGGGGGATGCCATGAGCCCAGGAGTTAGAGGACTCCCCATCAAAACAATTAAAAATAAATACATGTGTATCCATAAATAAGAAGTTGATACATGCAAATTTCTACCACAAAGGTCATATGTAGGTATTCAGAAGTGTACACCTGATTCTATACCAGACTGGTTTTAAAATGCTGAAATGTGTATTTGTCTTGAGAACAAGAGATGGTTCATACCTCAAAAATCAAATTGCTTACACTAGAATTATATGATAACTATAGGGCACAAGTTATAAGCAATGAGAACCATGAAACTGGGAAAGGAGATTTTTCTGAAAATACTTAAATAATTAGGATATTTGAAAACAAAAACATGAGAACCTAATTATGTTATTTGTTTTCCTCATCTAAATAATGATGACATTAAAAAATTAAATAATGATTTACAAATACCATTCTTCACTAAAAGGAACCAAGTCTCTTTGGGAAAGTAGCTGATTCTAGATCTGACAGCAAACTGTAAGATGGGCTTTGAACATCTTGTGTTAGAAAGAAAGAAATGTTCAAAGTATGATGGAAATCTACCAAAAAGAATATAGGGCACACAGATTGATGGAGCTCTCACTGAGTACCACTATAGGACAACCAATAAAGGATAATCAGTACATTTGTATTTGTATAGGAAATGGAAATACCACAGCATAAGAGTAAACTCCTGTTTCTGGTATCATAGTTTATACCAACAACAGTGTTGGGCAATGTCCAATTTTATACACATGGGATTTTATACTCTTATGGGATCAGACAAACCTTGTGGCTTTCTCATTTTTAAATGAAGTAAAGTATGTTTATAGGTTTGTCAGAAGATGAGTACAATTATGAATGGCAACATATACATGGGAATTTTGAGTCACATTTTTACTTGGATTACAGTTCAAAACCAAGTGCTAAGGCACTTTACAAGCCAGAAAAGCCATTTCCCCTTTTACTCACCTATAGTAGGAGTAGTAGGTCTGCTACTAACAGTACCAACACTTAACCGTGGAACTAGCCTTCCTTGGTTTGACCCCTAGAGGGGATTTAAACACAAGTTAGTTTCAATGTTGTTAAGATTTGATATGGAGACTTAACCAAGAGTGAAACTACAATTATGTGAATTATTAGTGGATAATCCATGACAAGAATGTCTTATTCTATATCTATGTAAACATAATTATGACTCTCTTAATTCTCTGTAGTGCTTAGAGTCTTATCTGAATGGGGATAACAGCTAACTTCCTTGTGATTTTTAATCTTCACTAGTCAATGTCTTAACCCCAAAAGAAATAAAATTCTCTTATAGCAAAATTTCAGAAACAAAGGCAGCCAAATGTGTAGAGAACTAATTTCAGTAGTGGGACAGCCTTAGGTCATATTTCAGAAAGCAGGCCTAATTTATGATAGTACAACATTTACTCTGTTATTAGACCTCACTAAAAAACTATGGTATAGTGTAAAGATAAGTAGTTATGAGACCTGGTAATCATTCCTAGCTTTGAAACTGATTCCATAAATAAGTCTAGGCACAGTTTCCTGATATAAAAAATGTCTACTGGATTAGATGAACACTAAATTTCCTTCTAGCTCTAAGTGTTTTAAGATAATAGTAAATTATCTTAACCTTTAATTAGCTGTGTTACCTATACGAATTTGCTTTTTTCAAATTCTCCTATCATATTCCACTTTCCAGGGGCTCACTCCTGCTGGACAAGTGCTCTGCCACTGAGCAACATCCCCACCCCCCTGTATCCCACCTTGTTAAAAAGCAAAGTTGACTAAAAGTTCTTACCTTTTTAATTAAGGACTTCAGTCTGTAGTTTGGAGCTGTTAAGCAGTATCTATCAGGTGGCAACCTAGGTCCTGAATATGGCTTAATCAGTGGCAAAGGTGTTTGATTTTTCTGTCTTGCAATATCCAGCAAAAACTAAAGAAAAAAATCTTCATTAGAACTACAACTTAAAACCTAAGTAAAAATAACTTGAAATAAACATTTGCTCACATCTCTTGGGGGAGGAGAGGTAAATGATTGGTCTGCACGACACTGGATTGCCAGTCTCACATCATCTGCATCAACATTAGGTTTCTTAGCATGGCTTGAATAAATTTTTGCATCATCCAGAATTGTAGTCACATATCCTTTAAAAACAAAATTTTTTTCTTAAGTACATGAAGACAGCTTAATGGCAACTTGTCTTAGTTCCCACTAATTTCTGGAAAGTTTATGAATTTAGATTTTAATGGCTAATTGTTCTACACATAGGATAAATTTTTAAACAGATATTACAATGTAAATACTACTACCCCTAGCTTGAGCTCCATTTTAATGATTGATTTATTTACTTATTTGCAGTATTGAGTGAACCCAGGGCTTCACAAATGGCTCTATCACTGAGGTACATTCCCATCCCTTTTTATTTTGAGACAGGGTCTGGCTAAGTTGCTGAGGCTGTGATCCTCCTGTTTCAGCCTGACAAGTATCTGGGATTACAGTCGTGTGCCAACACACCCAGCATTTTAGTTATTTTTATATTAATAACTCAATATAAGTTGGTTGAAAATATTCTTATAATAAAGTGATTTATTTTTCAAATTCACATATTTGGCAAGTTTTGGGTTTTAACTTACGGAAAGCAAATTCCAGCATTTGATTTATAACTCTTGGTTCATACTCTGTGATTCCCATATCCTTCAAGATCTGTGCCATCACCTGTGGATTCAAATAAAAATGCCAGATGCAAAATCTAGGTATTGGAAATCAAGGCTGAACTGAAGGTAGTTGTTTATATTTATGAGACAATGTTCCCATTCTCTGGGCTCCAGACTCCTACTTCTCCTTGTCTTCCCAAGTGTCAGTGATCACACCAGATCAGTTATATGCTCTAGCTGAAAACTTTTTTGTTTTTGGCAGGGCTGACAAAAGAAAAAGGTCAGGGTTGGCTTTTCCAGCAGAGGTTGGGTGGCTCCAGCTGGTTGTCATTTTCAGATGGAGCGGTGGGGGAAGCTAGCATCAGAACGCTGGACGCTGAGAGTAAGGGCTCATAGATGGGACGACAGGACTAGGCGAGGTGGTGACGGCGGCGGCCCGAGGCCCCGGAGACAAAGCGTGGCGGCCCGGCCGCGCACTTGGTTGAACCACGACCCTTTGGAGGGGCTACGCAGGAGCTGAAGGAGAGCGCCCCTGGGGCCAAGGCAAACCCCCATTGCCCCCTCCACCTGATTGCCTTAGCTGGGCTGAAGCAGGCGCGGGAGCCCACCCCCTAGCCCTCAGTCTGGGTCTGCCTCACAGTTCACGGGCCTCGCCAGGCTTCACGCCTCGCCTCTCATCCTTCGCACTTACCAAGGCATCTCTAGGAGCGTTCTTGGGAGGCGCCATCTTGCCCGACTCCATGTTATCCAGGCTCTCGTCATCCGGGGAGAGAGGGCAGCTCGAGGACTCCTCGCTCAGGCTCCACCTCTGTAGGGGCGGAAGGCGGGGTTACCGCGCAGGCTGGCGGGCCTGTGGCTGTTTCACAGCTGCTACTCCTGGCCTGTGCGGTCCATGGGAAACCTGGCTCTCCCAGAGGCTATCCGCGCAGCGCGCCGGCGCCCCCAAAAGTCGGGGCCGCCTCGGAGGTTTGGAAGAGGAGGGTAAGCCTTTCCCTGGTAGCCCTTCCCTACCGGGAGCTAAATAATACAGAAGAGCCTAGAAGCTTCCAACGTTGTCCACTGGCAAAGCACACCGAGTGGGTTGCCCTCTGAGGTCCTTCCTCACACCCTGCACTACCAACCTGGCTCCTTCCAGATCCCAAAATTACTGCAGAGGCCCTTCCCTCACCTGCCTCACTGTTAGGAATGCCCGATCAAGCAGAACACTCAGTTACATTCGACAACCAATACACTTAGGATATACTTTAGCATAAGTATGCCCCAAATATTGCATGAGCCATACTTATAGTACACAATTATTTACTGTTGATCTGACATACCAATTTAATTTGGTACCCTGGCCTTTCGTTTGCTAAGTCTAGCAGCCCTATCCAATAACCTGTTCTCCACACCCAGGACTTTGGTCAGTGGGACTTTGGTCATTTCTTGTTGCACATTGATGGAAAGCTAAAACCTTTTTTTTTTTAAGGTACTGGGGATGTAACCCAAGGGTGCTTTACTACTGGGCTCCATCCCCAGCCATTTTAATTTTTTTTTTTTAATTTTGAATCAAAGTCTTGCTAAGTTGCTCAGGCTTACCTTGAACTTTGGATCCTCCTGCCTCCGCCTCTGGAGTGGCTAGAATTACAGGCTTGTGAGAGCTAAAAAAAATCTTTAACTACTTATCTCACTGAAGCCCCTAGAAACTTATCTCTTGGTCAGAGTAGCTCTGTCCCCAAGGAAACCCACACAGGGACCTTCCTTGCCTTCCCGATTGCTCACCTCCTCCACACCCCCAATTCTTAGAAGAACCCTTGTGAATTTGTTGAGAAGCAGTCATCCAGCCCGAGTTATTTTAAAAGGACAAACATCAGCTAACCATTTCTGACTTAGAATAGCTCAGAGAACTCCATTTTACTCCTGTATCCACCAATGCCCTAGCATCCTCCATTTCAGGAGGATAAGGCACCATGACCGCCTCAGACCGGAAAAGGAGCAGGTAGCCATGTTGCTGCTTTCCCTCACAAGCCACATGTAATTTAGCAGTAAGTCATGTTGTGGTGACCTCCCCAAGTTACACATCTGTTTCTCTGCATCTCTCTCCACATATATCATGGTAACAAGTCTTAAACAACCGCCTTACTAAGATTACAGAAAGGGACCCTAAAATAGGGCCCCCCCCACATTCCTCATACAACCGGAGCGATCTCTTATTTATAAATAAAAAAT